CTGCTGCTGCTGTGTTGGGGTGCAGGCGGCAGCCGTAGGAGCTCTGGCGGTGGTGCAGCAGCAGCAGCAGGTGATGAGGAGACAACAAACGAAGAAGCATTCGCTTTGCTGCTGCCGCTGCAGCCTGCTGCTGCTCCTGCTTGTCTTTGCCCCGCTCACTGCAGCAGCGCAGCAGCAGCAGCAGCAGCAGCAGCAGCAGCAGCAGGTGGCGGCGGTTTGCTGCTAGCTCGTGCTGCTGCTTCTCCTGCAGCAGCAGCAGCAGCAGGAGCAGCATCCCCATCACACTCCCCATCACCGCCACCAGCAGCAGCGCATCACCAGCACCAGCAGCAGCAGCAGCAGCAGCAGCAGCAGCAGCAGCAGCAGCAAGAAGCAGAGGAGACAGAAGAAGAATACGGAGACAGTCAGGGAGACGATGGAGACAGCAACAAAACAGACGAAGACTACAGGCAAAGGAGAAGGTCCTATAGGATGCAGCTAGCAGCAGAACAATATAACAGATAAAATGCTGCTGCAGCTGCTGCTGCTGCTGCAGCAGCAGCAGCAGCAGCAGCAGCAGCAGCAGTGGCAGAAGCAGGCAAAGGAGAAGGTCTTATAGGATGCAGCTAGCAGCAGAACAGTATAACAGATAAAATGCTGCTGCTGCTGCTGCTGCTGCAGCAGCAGCAGCAGCAACAGCAGCAGCAGCAGCAGCAGCAACAGCAGCAACAGCAGCAGCAGCAGNAGCAGCAACAGCAGCAGCAGCAACAGCAGCAGCAGCAACAGCAGCAGCAGCAACAGCAGCAGCAGCAACACCAGCAGCAGCAGCAGCAGCAATATAGATGCACCTGCAAGAATATAGATGCAACAGCAAACGCTGCAGCAGCAAAAGGCGCAGCAGCAAAAGCTGCAGCAGCCAGCAGCAGGAGCTGCAGCAGCAACAACTGCAGCAGCAAGAGCTGCAGCAGCAAGTGCTGCAGCAGCAAGAAGCACAGCAGCAAACGCTGCTGCCCCCAGGAGCAACTGCTGCAGCAGCAACAGCAGCAGCAGCAAGGCTTGCAGCAGCAAAAGCAGCAGCAGCAGCAAGAGCTGCAGCAGCAGCAGCAAGAGCTGCAGCAGCAGCCGCAAGAGCTGCAGCAGCAGCCGCAAGAGCTGCAGCAGCAGCAAGAGCTGCAGCAGCGGCTTTTGCTGCTGATCTTCTGTTGCTGCTGCTGCTGCTGTTGCTGCTGCTGCTGCTGTTGCTGCTGCTGCGAATTGCGAGACCTTTTGAACCCCCTTAATTGGGGTTTATACTCCTCAGGGTTTAGGGTTTAGGGTTTGGGGTTTAGGGTTTAGGATCCAGCGCTCAGGGTTTAGGGTTTGGGAGCAGAGAAAGGGTTTAGTAGGGTTTAGGGTTCGCAGTTTAGGGTTTGGGTCCGTAAGAACAGAGAATGGGCTAGGGTTTAGGGTTTAGGGTTTGGGGCCGTGCAGACAGCGAGGGTTTAGGGTTTAGGGTTTGTGTTTAGGGTTTAGGGTTGTTCGGCTCAGACAAACAAAGTTATATATAAATGTTAGGGTTTAGGGTTTATAAATATATTTATATTTATACATAGTTATTTTTTATTTATATTTATATTTATATTTATTTATTTTTTATTTATATTTATATTTATTTTTTATATGAATGGGTTAAGCACCGCAGTGTCTGTACACTGCAGCTCCTGAGTTTTTGCTGCTGCAGTTGCTGCTGCTGCAGCAACTGCAGCAACGTTTGTCGCTGCAGCAGCAGCAGCAGCAGCAGCAGCAGCTGCAGCAGCAGCAACCGCTGCAGCAGCAGCAGAACGAACGAAGCAAATTGGGGTGTATGCATGCCGCATGCAGCCCCAAAGCTGCATGCGGTGTACATACACCCCGCTTCTGTTTGGGGCTTTTTGCGGGGGCCCCGGGGTGTATGTACACCTCAGCGCTCACCTATCCGCGTTTTCTATGGAGTTAGCTAGCCGCATAATACAGCTAGCTAGCTAGCTAGCTAGCTAGCTATCCGCATACAGCTAGCTAGCTAGCTGGCTAGCTGGGTTGTACAGCTACCCAGCGAGTTAACCAGACCATACGGCTAGCTAGATAGCTAGCTTGTTGTCTAGCTAGCTAGCTAGCTAGCTAGCTAGCTAGCTAGACAGCTATGTAGCCAACTTGCTAGCTAGCTAGCTAGGAAGCTCACTTGGCTCCCCAGCTAGCTAGCTAGCTAGCTAGCTAGCTAGCTAGGGAGCTCATCAGGTAATCTATCTGGCTATCGAACTAGCTATATAGATATCTACCTAGCTAGCTATCTAGATATCCACCTAGCCAGCTAGCTAGNGCTATCGAACTAGCTATATAGATATCTACCTAGCTAGCTATCTAGATATCCACCTAGCCAGCTAGCTAGCCAGCTAGCTAGCTAGCTAGCTAGCCAGCTAGCTAGCTAGCTAGCTAGCTAGGTGGTGGAGCTCAATAACCGTGAGGCTGGTGTGCGGTGGTGCCGCGGGTTGGTGACCCCCCGACACCTCCTGCAGTCATTCATCTTTTTTTGCTTCTGCTGCTGCTGCGCTGCTGCTGCTGCTGCTGCTGCTGCTGCTGCTGTTGCTGCTGCTGGTGTTGCTGCTGCTGCTGCAGCTGTTTTTGATTCTATCTGTTGTGCTGATTGAGTCTGTATCTTCTGCTGCTGCTGTTGCTGCTGCTGCTGCTGCCTTGAGCTCTGTTTCTGCTGCTGCAGCACCAGCAGCAGGAAGACACACACGCCAGCTGCTGAGGGGGAGCTGCTGCAGCTGCTGCACCCTGCTGCGGAATATAAACAACCAACACAAACCTGCAGCACATACAACACACATGCTGCTGCTGCTGCTGCTGCTGCTGCTGCTGCTGCTGCTGTGATTGCTGCTGCTGCTGCTGCTGCTGTTAGCCTTGCTGTTGTGGTTGCTGCTGCTGCTGCTGCAGCAGCAAGGCTTCTCTACGCTCTACCTCTTCGTGCTATTTCTGCTGCTGTTGCTGCTGCTGCTGCTGCTAGACGTTGAACTTCCTGCTGCCAAACCCTAAACCCTAAACCCCAAACCCTA